AAGACAACACCAGAAACCATCCCCCACCAGCCCTGAGACAAAACGTAGATGTACTGAGCTGAATGCCTAACTGTTCTTCTGCTCGCTGCTTTCACTGTAACATGTAGATCTGGTGAGCGCTAAATATAGATTTACTGAGCTGAATGCATAACTGACTGTTCCTCTGCCTGCTCCTTTCACTGTAACACACAGATTTGGTGAGTGCTAAATGTAGATTCACTGAGCTGAATGCATAACTTCGTCTGCCTGCTCCTTTCACTGTAACATGTAGATTTGGTGAGTGCTAAATGCAGATTCACTGAGTTGAACGCATAACTGTTCCTCTGCCCACTGCTTTCACTGTAACACATAGATTTGGTGAGTGCTAAATGTAGATTCGCTGAGCTGAATGCATAAATGACTCTTCCTCTGCCTGCTCCTTTCACTGTAACACATAGATTTGGTGAGTGCTAAATGTAGATTCACTGAGCTGAATGCATAACTGTTCCTCTGCCTGCTCCTTTCACTGTAACATGTAGATTTAGTGAGTGCTAAATGTAGATTCACTGAGTTGAATGCATAAGTGTTCCTCTGCCCACTCCTTTCACTGTAACATGTAGATTTGGTGAGCGCTACATGTAGATTCACTGAGCTGAATGCATAACTGTTCCTCTACCCCCTCCTTTCACTATGACATGTAGATTTGGTGGGCACTAATCAAAGCCTCACAAGAATGTAACCACTTATCTCCCTACCTACCCTCCTTTATTTTTCCTTTCCCTCTTCCCTCCCTTCCTGCTCTTTCCCTTTTAAATACTTGTTAGGAATAACACTCAAAATCCTAAGGAAATTGAACACTTAAACAAAGGATTCTTAGCAAAGCAATTTTACTTCTGCGCAGAGGGGTGCCTCGTTGGCCAGTTGCCATGAGAGCACACCTGAACAAAGGGGCATGAAAGCCTTTATTCCTGACACAAGTCCTGCCCCTGTACCTTTTTCCATTGGCCAGGGTCGGGTCGTACAATCTAAACTAATCCCACTTGGCTAAACACTTGATTTTTTTAGATAGGGTGGGCACGTAAAAGAAAGTGGAGAGGAAGGGGAAGGGGTGTCTGTAATGAGCTAGAAAGTTAGTCCTCTTTCCAAATAAGGAAAGGAATGTGAGCTGGCACTGATAACACTTGGTACTGTGGCGTGCCTGGGCATCTAACAAAGGAAAAAAGGATAAAAAAGGGGGGGGGACTAAGAATTAAAGAATAAAATATTGATCAGATTATTTGAAGAGAAACCTGATCATATCCCACTTACTAAAGCCCTAAAAATCTTCTTTGGAAAGAGTGCAGGCCACAGATCTGTGGTTGTGTCTCCTTCTCAGGCACATCCTCAACCTTGGCAAAATAAACCTCTAAATGGGCAAGACTTGTCTCAGACACTTATCTGGTTTAAAATACCTTTTCATGTTGTTTTGATTTTTGAACCATGTGACTCTATTGCTTTATATAAAGAGGATGAAGCAAGGGCACTTCTTTATTGATCATTAAAGTCAGAGTAAATTTACTATTGATTTCGCCTAAAGTAAGGGTAAGAACTCTTAGAACAGGCTGGGCGCGGTGGCTCAAGCCTGTAATCCCAGCACTTTGGGAGGCCGAGACGGGCGGATCATGAGGTCAGGAGATCGAGACCATCCTGGCTAATACGGTGAAACCCCGTCTCTACTAAAAAATACAAAAAACTAGCCGGGCGAAGTGGCGGGTGCCTGTAGTCCCAGCTACTCGGGAGGCTGAGGCAGGAGAATGGCGTGAACCCGAGAGGAGGAGCTTGCAGTGAGCTGAGATCTGGCCACTGCACTCCAGCCTGGGCGACAGAGCAAGACTCCGTCTCAAAAAAAAAAAAGAACTCTTAGAACAAACAGGGAAACTTCTCAACTCTTGCCCCGAATTTCAACAGACACATTGGAGGTCTCCGGAAAACTCTGGCTGCTAAATCACAGCGGCACTGAGTGGCAGGTGAGATAGCCAGAAAGTCACATGAAGGAGCACTGAACGTCCCTGGGTTTGTTAATTCCGGTAACATGTCAGATGGACAGGGACTTCAGACACTCCTGCAGGCTAACTAGGAGAGCTCTGGCAACACGGCCATTCTAAATCTTTCTGGAGATTTAACTCAAGGTACACTTGTATTTACATGTAGGCTCCATAACCCCCCAATTCAAAAAAAAAACTCTGGAGAAGCTGAAGAACTTTCCAGCTTCATCTGTTTAAAACACCACTTGCAGCCTGAGCAGCACAGTGAGAGTGTCTCCACAAAAAATCAAACAATTAGCTGGGTGTGGTGGCACGTGGCTGTGGTCCCAGCTATTCAGGAGGCTGAGGTGGGAGTATCTCTTGAGCCTGAGAGGTCAAGGCTGCAGAGAGCCATGATGAAGCCACTGCATTCCACCCTGGGTGACAGAGCAATGTCTCAAAACCAAAAACAAAACACCAGCTTGGGCAAAGCTATCTTTCTTATATCCTCATTTTCTAATTGATCATATCCCCCAGATGTGGGAAAGTAATAACTTTAGTTTAAAATTAGTTTTTGCAGATCTAATGAATATCTAAATAATATACATATATTTTTGAAACAGAGTCTTGCTCTTGTTCCCCAGGCTGGAGTGCAATGGTGTGATCTCGGCTCACCACAACCTCCACCTCCCGGGTTCAAGGGATTCTCCTGCCTTGGCCTCCTGAGTAGCTGAGATTACAGACGTGCGCCACCACACCTAATTTTGTATTTTTAGTAGAGATGGGGTTTCTCCATGTTGGTCAGGCTGGTCTCGAGCTCCCATCTAATTTTGTACTTTTAGTAGAGATGGGGTTTCTCCACGTTGGTCAGGCTGGTCTCGAGCTCCCAACCTCAGGTGATCCACCTGCCTGAGCCTCCCAAAGTGCTGGAATTACAGGCATGAGCCACTGCACCTGGCCTAAATAATAATTTTTAAAAATTACTGTTTTTTGGTTTAGAATTACTTAGCTGAACTGTGCAGAAGCAAGCTTCTGGATTCCTTGATAAAAAGCCAAAGTTGTACACTCGAGGGCTTTAGGATGAATAAAATGTTTAAAAAAAACACAACAGGACGAGGCAGGCTGATCACCTGAGGTCAGAAGTTCAAGACCAGCCTGACGAACATGGAGAAACCCCGTCTCTACTAAAAATACAAAAATTAGCCGGGCGTGGTGGCACATGCCTGTAATCCCAGCTACTCAGGAGGCTGAGGCAGGAGAATCGCTTGAA